GATCTAGCAGCACTCCAGGCATCGTGCAAAATACATAACCCCACATATAATACACTCATAATTCACTAATGTTTGCTGAATGACAGGGTTAAGTGCCTGCTATTCCCGGCTTCCCACCACACTAATGTACTCCAGACCTGAGCTCCTTTTCTTCTGGATTGAAGTCAAATTGTTTCCTGCCGCCTCGCTATGGAAGCTTCTTCCACCAAGAATAAACAGGACTTCCTAAATTATTTTCATTTGTTTTTCTAATCTAATTTTTCCCTTGGTGCTTCACTAATCATCAATCCCATTAAAGGGCTGATGTGTTGACTGCTTTCCAGAGACCAGCCTGTCCCGCATCCAGCAGTGAGCTGACCTTCAGCATCAAAAACTCCAAGTTGTGATCTCATCTAGTTAGCAGACCGGATGCTGACTGCCTTCCAGGTGGCCCAAATGCTCTCAGACGTGCGCGGCCTGCTGCAGATCATCGCTACCTGCTCTTGGCAAAGAGACAGCCAGGCTACCTGGAACGAAAGCCATCGCTCAGCAGTCATTTCTCCCCCAACTCTCTTCCAGCTCCAGAGGGGTGATTAAAGAGAAAAGAAGTGTTCCTGGTTCTCTCTCATGCACTTTGCCAGCCCTGGCATCTTATTAACTACCTGATCCGGGCTGATATCGGGGGGTCAGGGCCTAGTTTTAGACCAACAGGAGCAACTTTAAAAATCACTGCATTTCAGCTAGTTTTAGTGTTCGGACAACTCACTTGCCAACTGGAATCGCGCTGGAATGACAAAGTGCGGAGGGTGTCGGAGAAACCTCCGTCGAATCGCATGCAGAACTGCATTAAAAGCACACCCTGAAGATCTCAAAATTTGGACCCGCCAGACTTGGGCTCAGCGGTGGAGCTTGAAGTCAGGCCTCCCGCTTGTGCACATGCTACAGTCCCTAATGCCGTGATCATAGATCTTTTTTTTTGTTCCTGTTGGTGACAGCAGGGATCAAGTAAGAGCTGCTGAGACTTTACTGTTTGTTTGTCGCCAGCCTGGAGGCAGCTATGCTGGCTGGCACCCGACCTAACTTTTGCGGGGCCTTCTTTCAACTTCCCCGCTTCCAGCTGGGACGAACCCTTCCTGTTGCCTTCCACTGACTGACGGTGTTGCAGACGATGAGCGGGCCGAGGGGCAAGCTGCTCCCTGAGAAAACGAGACCCGTCAAGGCCACAGGGTTGTTCAGGCCAGACACATTCATTGTATTTTTATTTGTAGTTTATTTTTTGCTTTCTGAACCAATCAACACCCTCTCGTTTCCCTCTGTGACAGTAGGGGGTTAACTATCTCGCCAGCCTAAAAATTGCCAGCCACCAGGTAATATTTCAATGAGTGAAACGGAGCCAGCACCATCTGGGCGGCGGAGGCGAGCGCGGACCAGCTATCACTCTCCTTCTGCATGAGTGGAAGGGAAGATTATTTATCTCTTCAGGTGGCTTGTGCAGCACCGAGGAACGTGGGCTGCGTCTTGGTTTTGGGCAGGGAAGGAGCTGAGGCAGGAGCTCGTGCTCCCAGCTCCCTCTGCAGACCCCTCGTGGGGCACAGGACAGGGGCCACTTCGATGTGGCCTCAGGTCCCTTCTGGTCATTCAGGGAAATGCCAGAGGAGCTTTGAATGGCAAAATGCTGCTGCTTTTGATGTTCCCTGCTCTTTAAATGGAGAAGTGATGAGTGCACAGTCTCTCTTTTTAAGGCTGGAAGCTCTGAAAAGGATCCTTATTGCTTTAGGGGCCCTTAGTCAGAGGCCAGGTGGGGAAGCAGAGGGTTTTGTAAAGAGGTGCCTTTCCCTTGCTGAAGTAGGATGCTCTTCTCTTCCCACACACCGTGACTTAATGCTGTGCTGACTAGCAGTCACCAAGGTCTGCTACCTAACCTCAGAGGGTGCACACACGTGTCCTCCAGTGGCACCCTGCGCTCACGTAGGGTTTATTTTAATCACAGGTTGCAACCATCCCGCCCGTCTACGAAGAGCTGCCTGAGGCACAGCAACGATGCCAGCAGCCACCCGGCAAGCAAATCGGAGGCAGCGCCAAGAAGACAGCCCACGCCTGCCGTCCCAGCGCGATCCCCCAGGCCACGCCAAGTTACGTAAGTGCTGGGTCTTTCCACTTGCCTTGATTTGCGCGCCGCGTGGAAGCTAGCGCCGTCCCGGGTAACATTTCATGAATATTTAAGGACACATGTTGGCTCCGCTCCACTCCCAACTGCAAAAGTGAAACATCCTCTGGTGGAATATATTAGCCGTTAAGAGGGTGTGAAGCCAGACAATGCATGTTGCTCCTAATGAGAAAAATAAACAGCAAGCATGTGTGTGCTACTTAGGAATAACTCTCACCATATTGGTAGCATATTGTTAACCACCATCCGCCCTCGAACCAGGATAGTGCACGCATGGAGATGTCAAGATCCCAACTCAAGTTTTCTTTTTATGGCGGGGAGGGAGGTGGGGACTGGCATTCAGCCAAATGCCGCAGCGTCAGTTTTCTCCCCTTCTCCACTTGTCTCTCGCTAGTGGGGGTGTTTCTCTGTCACCGGCACAAATGCCCTTTGGCAGCGAGAGGCTCATCCAGCAGGGGAGTGATTGAAAGCAACAGGTGGCCGCCGTATTCCCACGGGGTTGTCTTTTGAGAAGGGGGAGGGCTGAAGTAAATCAGCTAATAAGTGGACTGTAAATTGAAGCGTTTAGCTTCCAGCTGTAAAAATAGACGCTGCGCCGTACTAGCCAACGCAGGAAAGGGGGCGACTAATTGCAGCACAAACTCTACCGCTAAGTGCCCCAAAAGTGCCCGCAACAGAGCTTGTTGTACACGCAACCAGCACTAACAGACGGTGGAAGCGACGGGGAGGATGCACATCGGCAGCCACCTGGTGCCATCAGCCCAGACAGGCGAGTTGGAAGGGAAGGACGGAGAAGAGGAAAGGAGGTGGCCTTGCCTTGCATGCACCAGCATTGTGGCCACACCAAGTCGTGCGCATGGTCAAGGTTTGCGGTTGTTTTGCCTTCAAAGGAGGGGCTTAAGCACTTACAAGGGAGGAGCCCAGTGCTAACCTATCTCTGGTGTGAAGTGGACTTGGGGAAAACTCTTACTGCTCTAGGGCAGGGAGGAGGAGGAGGAAGAATTGGGTGTGGGGAGGGGGAAGAGAGAGAGGAGGAGGAGGGAACCCTTCTCCTGTCTTTTAACCACATTTCTCAGACCATTTGAGGTGGGATTTTTCAAGGCTTAGGTTTGCAGCAAGCTTGGAAGCTGCCAAAAGTGCACTGTGGCGTCACACTGTGTTAAAGGGACCTGCCTGGGGTACGTTGATGCCTCAGCCCAAAAGTGCAACTGCAGGCCATGCAGACGTCCTCAAGCAAAGCAGCTGGTGCAGCATGGAGCTGAGCTCTTGTCTGCGGCTCGAGCATCTCCCCCTGTCCCAGCAGGGCCTGGCAGTTTGTGCTGCTGTTAGTCCTTGAGTTTAGCTCATTTTAAAGCTACCTTGGGTGCCTCTATACTGGGTTCAGCCACATCTCTGGACTTCAGCAGGCATGTCTACACGAGACACTTAATGCGCAGTAGTTTAATAGCACTGTGCAGTAGCATGCTGGTCAGAAACTGTGCTAGTGAGTGAGTGAGTGCATGGTGTTATTAGGCAGTAAGTGTTACAAAAAACCAGTGCACCAGCACTACTGTGCTAAACTAAATGCACAGTAATGACCGCGTAGATGCGCCCAGTGTGAATGAGCCCTGAGGGTCTTTTCGGTTCATGCAGTCATCTCCGGTGGTACAGAACGCTATCATGTCTTGTTCACTTGAATAGATGTGGGGAGTGAACCCACTTACATTGCGAACCACTGTTGTTGCCACGTGTTACTCCATGGCAAAGCATGCATGTCCAGGAGGGGAACAACCAGTCCACGCCAAGAAACTAGCCCCAGTACTGAACGACAGCTGGTGTGAAGTAACCGGATGTCTAAAGCCAACACCAAAGGATAGCCTGTATTTACTGGCTGGCATCGCACCACCTGATCTCCGAAGAAAAGTACTGAGCCAAAAGGAAAGATCACGGCAGGTAGAAGACGCCAAGCACCCACGCAGTGGTCACACGCAAGTAACCAAGTGGCTTAAAGTGCAAAAAAGTTTTGTGACCAGTGTTGTGCCCTTGCACACAAGACATGACTGATGTTATGGAAGGAAAAATTAGGAACAATCAGGTGCCTTCAATGAGCCTGGACCCCAAGGAGGACCTTCCCAGAGGGGCTGATACAGCTTGGTAACATGGTGATGCCTGAACTGCCTGCACACTCAAGGGGCTGGAAGAAGCCGTGCTGCACGCAGCACGTGCAGCCCGTGGCCATGCGTGGTCATGATCCAACACAGGGCAGGGGGCCCTGCCAGGAGGGTTAGAGGAACTTCTGTGCAGACCCAGGGTGAGGAGCAGCGGTTTCCTGGGGCTCAGAGGTCCCCACCAAAGCCAGAACAAAGCTCTGCTTCCCAACGCAGAGTGGAGGAGGGTGTCCCACAGCGGGGGGCCGCGCCGGCCGCTGGCCTGCCCCTTGCACAGCTCCTGCGCGCCTTCGGATGGCAGAAGTTTGTTGGGGCTGCAAGCGGCCTCCTGGGCATAGCATTGTGACCGGTCTATGATCACAGCAGGCCCTGGGGTGTTGCTCCGGGTTGTGCCCAGTGGCAGCCCAGCTCGTGGCCCTTTGCCTTTTGAGGGTCCCAGAGGCAGCTCTGCAGCTCAGCCTTGGTCTGAAGCTTCGCCCCAGGGGACAGTATTTGGGCAAGCAGCCTTCCCTGGGTCCCCACCTATCTGAGCTCTGCAGGACACGGCTGTTCAGCATCCCAAGGCCAGCTCGAGGCTGCTGCTGCCCCCCAAGCCCAGGTCTCCGCGAGCGAAGCCAGATTCCCTTGTGGCTGGAGGCCTCTGAGCCCCCCCTTCTCTGCACCCCTTTGGCTGGGCTCGCACAGGAGCTGGCCAGCGTGCCTGTCTCTGACCACATGCATACACTGTGCGCCTCTTTGTACGTGCACACTCACAGTGTGCCTTTCTTTGCACACTCACAGTGCCTGTCTCTGCAAACAGTGTGTGCCTCTGTGCGCATAGTGTGCCTGTCTGTGCGCACACACACACACTGTGCCTGACTTCACGCGCACACAGTGTGCCTGTCAGTGCACACGCAGTGTGTGCCTGTCTCTGCACACCCACACGCACAGTATGCCTGTCTGTGCGTACAGTGTGCCTGTCTCTGTGTACACAGTGTGCTTGTTTCTGTGTGCACACGTGCAGTGCCTCTCTGCATACACACTGTGCATCTCTCTGTGTGCACACGTGTATGCAGTGTGCCTGTCTGTGCATGCACACACACACACATACTGTGTGCTTGTCTCTGTATGAGTGCATATACACACTGTGTGCCTGTCTCTGCACATACACAGTGTCTGCCTCTGTGTGCGCGTGCACGCACAGTGTGTTTGTCGCTGCGCACGCAGGCACACACACACACACGCACACTCACAGAGTATACCTGTCTTTGCATGCCCCCACACACACTGTGTCTATCTCACACGTACACATGCATAGCACCTGTGTGCGTGCACAGTGTGCCTGATGCTGCATGTGTACACGCACACACACACACACACGTGCCTGTCTCTGCGCACACACCCAGTGTGCCTGTCTCTGCACACACAGTGCCTTTCTTTGCACACAGTGTGCCTGTGTGCACGCACGCACACACTTGCCTGTCTCTGCACACCCCCCCCACACACACAGTGTGCCTGTCTCTGCACAGTGTCTGTCTCTGTGCGTGCACACAGACGCAGTGTGCCTGTCTCCGCACAGTGTGGCTGTCTTTGCACACACCCAGTGTACCTGTCTCTGCACACACAGTGGGCCTCTCTGACACATACTGTGTGCTTGTCTCTGTGTGCACGTGCATAGTGTGCTTGTTTCTGCACGCGCGCGCACACACACGGTGTGCCTGTCTCTGTGTGCATGCACACACATTCGCTCTCTTTTCCCCTCCCTCCTTGCATGCGCACAGACACACACATATCCTCTTGCTTCTAGCCCTGGGGTACCCATGATCCTGTCACGTAGCAGGGCCACGTGGTGCTGGAGGTGGCCGTGTGCAGGGAAGCTGTGCAAACTGCAGCTAGCAGAGACTTCTGGGTGTAAGGTGTGGGGGTGGGGCCTTCCTGGTGAGTCGTCCTGGCTTCCCCTGGGTCCTATTGCCCTTGGCTCCTGGTATTTTTGCCAGGCAGCCAGGAGCAGATAAATATTAATTTTTTAATTTTTTTTAGGGGCTCCACAGGCCAGATAGTAAAGCCTGGTGGGCCAGATCCAGCCTGCAGGCCGTATTTTGGCTGCCCCGGCTCAAACTGGAAGATGCAAAAGAAACATGATTAAATGGGGCTACTCTAATGACATGAATATATACCAATGTGGTGAAATGCAGAGCATGGAGCATCTGCTCGTTTGCCAACTCCTTGGTGGGAGCTGTATGAAGGGCCTCGCTGCAGCAACGGAAGGAGCCATCTCTTATGCACGATTATGGAAAAACATCTAATTTATGATAAGGGCATGCAAAGAAGACAGCGACAACTTGAATAGGTTACAGTGGGTGGTAATGGTAAGTAGCTTTATTAAAAGAGGCTGTGAGACTCATCACCTTTTAAATGCCTTTCATTGTTCTTTTATTGATCTTCATAGCTCTGCTTGTTAGTACGTGCATTAGGATCACTGTTCATATTCCAACTTGACTTTTGGACATGGCCAACTGTGCTAGAGTGTGTGTGTGTTACTTTTTAGCAGATCGATAGCAACTGCTGTTAAAGCCCAGTGGAAATGGCCTGCTAAACCCCGTTAGCTGTACAAGGAGCTGGCTGCTTTTTTTTTTTTTAAGCTCCAGCACAAAAATACCATCACCCCCCCCTGAAATTTCTTGATTTAGAAACTGTTTTGAGTCTCTTTGGCCTGATTAGAAAATTAGGTGTTGCTGATAAGCTGTGTCAGCACTGGGTCCCAGACAGTTTGGCTGAGTTAAGGGTTTGGAAGAGGTGTGTACGTGCTCCATAAGCCATCGCAAGGCTGAGTCCTGGTGAACATTTTTTTATTTCTCCTCTCTCTTAAAACAGCACTCAGCCGAACAGGAGCTGACACTTATCAGCAATTTTTGTGAGCCGAGATGGAAGGTTATATTGGCCACTTATCTGCAGCTTTGCCACATCTGTCTCCAGAGCCTTGACACCAATTGTGCTGCATGTATCAGGCATTGAGACCACCCTACTACCATTGGCTGGCACTTCTCAGGATATGAAACACCTTTCAGTCGCCTAAGGCAAGTGTTCACTGGCAGATCTCAATTAGTAGTGCAGTTGTGACCACACCATCGGGTGAGCCAGTAAAGGCTGTGTCGCCAGGTGTGAGAGACAGTCATTTGCTCGCACAAGGGCACATGACTCCACTTAGAAAAACATCTCAGGTAAGAGATGAACAACTTTCCTTGGGCTCATGAGCAAGGGTGAAAAATACATGTGCTGCTTGCTGCTTTCCCTTCAATGTAAAGGACCAGCAAAGCCATATTCAGGTTCCAAGGAAGTGCGTGCAATTGTAGCATCAATTGGGTTTCTACATTAAACACGTACAAAAAACCCCAGACTTATTTCACTCTTGCATTTGTTTATGCTCACCATTGTTTTTTCTGCACTGCAAGCACACTTCCCCCTGACAAGTCATGGTTTGTTTTCTCCTGCATCGTCTTTCATGTGCCTTCTGTTTCTTCCATGTGTCCTCATCCCTTGTAGTCGCTACATCCCCAGCTGTAGACATTTCTTTTTCTTTATCTTGCCAGTATCTTAACCTAAATCCTCTCTCGCCCTCCCTGTATATAGAGGGAGCTTCCTAGCTCTTTTGATAGATAGAGATCCCAGCCCCTAGCTAGAGATCTCGTGCTACTTCTGTCTAGTCCTATATCTCTTCTCTAGCCCTGACTGTAGCTAGAGAGAGATCTTTCTATCTTTGTATACTGCTGACAGTCCTCTCTCTTTCTTGCTCACTGCACCTTGCATTTAATAGAATAAATGGAAGACAGGAGGGAAGTGTTTGCCCAAATAGGAACTAGAATCAGGGACACCTTTCTACAGTAGTAGCCATCTGTCTGAGCCATACATTTCCCCAGCTTGTGCTTATCTCTTGTTCTTGGTTTCCCAGAGGGCCGGCTTCAACCAGGAGGGCTGGAAAGAAGGCTGCTTAGTACCTCATCGGTGGCCTGATGAATTGTGCTAGGAAATCAGAGAGATGCAGGGATCAAATCTCCGCTGGGGGAGATGGCCTAGAACCTGGGACTCCTGCTTCTTGAAGGTAAGTCAGATTGCAAACCACAGTTGACTTTTCAGCCAGGTCAAGTGAAATGAGGCTGAACCCACCGTGCAGTTACATGGATTTTGTACGGTGGGACCTAGTGTGACAATGCCAGGATAGGGTGTTTATTTCAAAGTCTTTCCACTACGTGGCAGGGATCAGGTAATAGCCTGTTTGCAAGGCTAGCTCTGGACACATGTTCCTTCCTCCGGTGTCACTTAGATTTACCCCCAGATTTTGCCATTATTGATTCTACACCAGAGTCACATGTACGCAGTGTGCACACGTTGCTAACACTAATGTAAATGGATTGTGTGGCTGAGCCCTTCTTCGGTCCTGCCATTTGGAAGGGTGATTGCTAGCTTGAATCTAGCCATGCAGGCGATAGCAAGTGAGGACAAACCAGCCTGGGACCCTAGGTACTTACGTGCGTGTCTGAAGCCTGCGCGCTGAATCTTTACCGCACCATCAGCAAAGCCTCCCTGGGCTTCAGTCTTACCTCCCAACTGATGTCTTCGACCAAGACATCAATCCTCGCTCTGCAGGATGGGATTAGCACCCCCCACCCCCTTTCACTGTGAAACACCTACAGTGAAGTCTTAGGAACAGACATGCAAAGTCTCTGGCAAAGGTGGCCTTGCAGTTCTCGTAGAGTCAGATAAACCTGAAGCAACCTGCTGTCCCATAGCATCGCTTAAATACTGTCCTTTGCCCTTAGTCTCACACGGTCATTTTTATTTAAGGGGGAACTGAGGATAAAATTAGTGCTCAAAAACTGAGATACCTATGTCTTATCAGGACTTTTTTTTTTTTGCTTCTCTTCCCTTCCCCTTTCTCCCCTCCTCTGCCACCAGCTTGAATTTAAAGAGCTGGGTACGTTGTCTTTGGTAGTAAATTTTTGTGGGCAAGGAGACCTATTAAAAGCAGATGCTCACCACACAGTGGCCTGTTGCATTTTGCACTGCATTTGATGCCTTTCACATTCCAGCGCAGACTGCAAAATGTCACTTTCTTTTAATGGTTCCCACTATATCCAACTGTCTGGAAGATCTGGCACCCAAAGGTAAAACTGTAAATACATGCAGCTCTACCCTGGCCTGCAATGCAGGCACATGACCAGGCTGCCCCTAGGAAGGAGCACTGGTAATCCTGCAAACCAATGACTGCAGCTCCCCTTTGATTAAGCCTGTTTGATACAAAAAGCATCGGCATTTCCTAATGCCATACAAAGCTGCTTTGCCTTTGGCGGCTGGGGAAGGGATGTGAACTTACGTGCCATGAAGGTGGTCATCTTAGGGAGATCTCACTCTCGTGCCCATGGTTGC